ACTCTATCAGTGGCAAGATACACCATGGTGTCTATGCTGACCGTTAATTGACTCTATCAGTTGTCAGATACACCATGGTGTCTATACTGACCGTTAATTGGCACTATCAGTTGTCAGATAAACCATGGTGTATGTACTGGCCGTTAATTGGCATTATCAGTTGTCAGATACACCATAGTGTCTGTACTGGCCGTTAATTGACTCTATCAGTGGCAAGATACACCATGGTGTCTGTACTGGCCGGTAATTGACTCTATCAGTGGCAAGATACACCAAGGTGTCTATGCTGACCGTTAACTGACTCTATCAGTTGTCAGATACACCATGGTGTCTGTACTGGCCGTTAATTGACTCTATCAGTGGCAAGATACACCATGGTGTCTATACTGACCGTTAATTGGCTCTATCATTGGCAAGATTCACCGTGGTGTCTGTACTCTCAGTTTATATGACTCTATCAGTGGCAAGATACACCATGGTGTCTGAACTGACCGTTAATTGACTCTATCAGTGGCAAGATACACCATGGTGTCTGTACTGGCCGTTTATAGACCCTATCAGTGGGAAGACACACCATGGTGTCTGTACTGGCCGTTAATTGACTCTATCAGTGGCAAGATACACCATAGTGTCTGTACTGGCCGGTAATTGACTCTATCAGTGGCAAGATACACCATGGTGTCTATGCTGACCGTTAATTGACTCAGTCAGTGGCAAGATACACCATGGTGTCTGTACTGGCCGTTAATTGACTCTATCAGTGGCAAGATACACCATAGTGTCTGTACTGACCGTTAATTGACTCTCTCAGTGGCAAGATACACCATAGTGTCTGTACTGACCGTTAATTGACTCTATCAGTGGCAAGATACACCATGGTGTCTGTACTGGCCGTTAATTGACTCTATCAGTGGCAAGATACACCATAGTGTCTATACTGAACGGTAATTGACTCTATCAGTGGCAAGATACACCATAGTGTCTGTACTGACCGTTAATTGACTCTATCAGTGGCAAGATACACCATAGTGTCTGTACTGACCGTTAATTGACTCTATCAGTGGCAAGATACACCATAGTGTCTGTACTGACCGTTAATTGACTCTATCATTGGCAAGATACACCATGATGTGTGTACTCTCCGTTAATTGACTCTATCAGTTGTCAGATACACCATGGTGTTTGACTGGCCGGTAATTGACTCTATCAGTTGTCAGATACACCATGGTGTCTGTACTGGCCGTTAATTGACTCTATCTGTGGCAAGATACACCATGGTGTCTATACTGAACGGTAATTGACTCTATCAGTGGCAAGACACACCATGGTGTCTGTACTGGCCGTTAATTGACTCTATCAGTGGCAAGATACACCATGGTGTCTCTACTGGCCGGTAATTGACTCTATCAGTGGCAAGATACACCATGGTGTCTGTACTGGCCGTTAATTGACACTATCAGTGGCAAGATACACCATGGTGTCTATACTCAGCATTAATTGACTCTATCAGTTGTCACATACACCATGGTGTCTGTACTGACCGTTAATTGGCACTATCAGTTGTCAGATAAACCATGGTGTCTGTACTGGCCCTTTAATTGGCATTATCAGTTGTCAGATACACCATGGTGTCTGTACTGGCCCTTTAATTGGCATTTTCAGTTGTCAGATACACCATGGTGTCTGTACTGACCATTAATTGGCTCTATCAGTGGCAAGATACACCGTGGTGTCTGTAGTCTCAGTTAATATGACTCTATCAGTTGTCAGATACACAATGGTGTCTGTACTGGCCGTTAATTGACTCTATCACTTGTCAGATACACCATGGTGTCTATACTGACCGGTAATTGACTCTATCAGTGGCAAGATACACCATGGTGTCTGTAATATCAGTTTATATGACTCTATCAGTGGCAAGATACACCATGGTGTCTGTACTCTCAGTTAATATGACTCTATCACTTGTCAGATACACCATGGTGTCTATACTGACCGGTAATTGACTCTATCAGTGGCAAGATACACCAGGGTGTCTGTAATTCTCAGTTAATATGACTCTTTCAGTTGTCAGATACACCATGGTGTCTATACTGACCGTTAATTGACTCTGTCAGTGGCAAGATACACCATGGTGTCTGTAATCTCAGTTAATATGACACTATCAGTGGCAAGATACACCATGGTGCCTGTAATCTCAGTTAATATGACTCTATCAGTTGTTAGATACACCATGGTGTCTATACTGAACGGTAATTGACTCTATCAGTGGCAAGATACACCGGTACCATGGTGTCTGTACTGACCGTTAATTGACTCTATCAGTGGCAAGACACACCATGGTGTCTATACTGAACGGTAATTGACTCTATCAGTGGCAAGATACACCATGATATCTGTAATCTCAGTTAATATGACTCTATCAGTTGTCAGATACACCATGGTGTCTATACTGGCCGTTAATTGACTCTATCAGTGGCAAGATACACCATGGTGTCTGTACTGACCGTTAATTGACTCTATCAGTTTTCAGATACACCATGGTGTCTATACTGACCGTTAATTGACTCTATCAGTTGTCAGATACACCATGGTGTCTGTACTGACCGGTTATTGACTCTATCAGTGGCAAGATACACAATTGTGTCTGTACTGACCATTAATTGGCACTATCAGTGGCAAGATACATAATTGTGTCTGTACTGACCGTTAATTGACACTTTCAGTGGCAAGATACACCATGGTGTCTATACTGACCGTTAATTGACTCTATCAGTTGTCAGATACACCATGGTGTCTATACTGGCCGGTAATTGACTCTATCAGTGGCAAGATACACCATGGTGTCTGTACTGGCCGTTGATTGACTCTATCAGTGGCAAGATACACCATGGTGTCTATACTGACCGTTATTTGACTCTATCAGTTGTCAGATACACCATGGTGTCTCTACTGGCCGTTAATTGACTCTATCAGTGGCAAGATACACAATTGTGTCTGTACTGACCGTTAATTGGCTCTATCAGTGGCAAGATACACCATGGTGTCTCTACTGGCCGTTAATTGACTCTATCAGTGGCAAGATACACAATTGTGTCTCTACTGGCCGTTAATTGACTCTATCAGTGGCAAGATACACCATGGTGTCTGTACTGACCGGTAATTGACTCTATCAGTGGCAAGACACACCATGGTGTCTGTACTGACTGGTAATTGACTCTATCAGTTTTCAGATACACCATGGTGTCTATACTGACCGTTAATTGACTCTATCAGTTTTCAGATACACCATGGTGTCTATACTGACCGTTAATTGACTCTATCAGTTGTCAGATACACCATGGTGTCTGTACTGACCGGTTATTGACTCTATCAGTGGCAAGATACACAATTGTGTCTGTACTGACCATTAATTGGCACTATCAGTGGCAAGATACACAATTGTGTCTGTACTGACCGTTAATTGACACTTTCAGTGGCAAGATACACCATGGTGTCTATACTGACCGTTAATTGACTCTATCAGTTGTCAGATACACCATGGTGTCTATACTGGCCGGTAATTGACTCTATCAGTGGCAAGATACACAATTGTGTCTGTACTGACCGTTAATTGGCTCTATCAGTGGCAAGATACACCATGGTGTCTCTACTGGCCGTTAATTGACTCTATCAGTGGCAAGATACACAATTGTGTCTCTACTGGCCGTTAATTGACTCTATCAGTGGCAAGATACACCATGGTGTCTGTACTGACCGGTAATTGACTCTATCAGTGGCAAGACACACCATGGTGTCTGTACTGACTGGTAATTGACTCTATCAGTGGCAAGATACACCATGGTGTCTATACTGACCGTTAATTGACTCTATCAGTGGCAAGATACACAATTGTGTCTGTACTGACCGTTAATTGGCACTATCAGTGGCATGAAATGTTACATATCTGTACTGCATTGCTATTCGTGGAGTTAATATAAGCTACACATATTGTTACCTTCTCCTTTATTCTTCTAATGGTTTATTTTGACAACAGGTGTGGGCCAGATGTGTGCTGGTAATGGGGATAGTACATGCGCTCCACATTAATATACTCAATACAGAAACGAAGTGAACAAATAATGTGCGACATACTTGATGCTGACGCTCAGTTGTACATAGCATACCTTATTAAAGATAAGTATCGGAAAGTGATTATTCAAAGCACCATTAAAAATTATTATTATAATTGTGTGCGCACGTGCGTTCATGCGTGCGTGCGTGCGTGTGCGTGTGTGTGTGTGCTGCGTGTGCGTGTGGAGTGTATTTCAGTTTCACCACGGCATATAGCCTGTGGTAAGAAGAATGCCCCAAATGACACAGGTCGTTAATCGCTTTGGTGAAATGGCCTGGAGTTAATCTCGCGGGCCCCTGGCACCACAAAAAGAGGCCATTCTGCACTGAGAACTACGGCGCTTTGTTCAATTAATTTGTGTCTTGGATGTAGTGATGAGATCACAGAAGCATTTTGACACAAGATGCCGAGCCGGCCGGCGTGTACACGGGCCAGCCATGCACCGTACACACCGCCGTGCGACAGATGTAATCGATGCTGAGCTAGTAAATTGTCATTGTAGAGTGGCTGTTGAACCGTGTTTACGTTTAAAGGCTGTTTTAGCTATACAAATATCTTTTCTTTATCCAAGAGCAGTATTGTGAAGTTTTTCTCGGGTCACAATAACATTGAGGTAAACTTATCGATTTTGCAAGAAATCGAGTTTAATTCATTTTAAGACATCTTGAGTGGTTCTTCAAAATAATATTGATGTATTTGTAATGTTTCAGGCAATGGGAAACTTGAGGTGGAGTTGTCTTTAAATTCAAAGGTTATTTTATATAATCATAAACGAACCAAAACATAACGTCATATCAGTCAACGTGAAAAGTCACTGCAGTTTTGAGTACTGCGAGATTCTGAGCAACGGGTGATTGTTGACGTCACAATCACGTGGTGAATATGAGCAGACGACGCGGACCCCGCCCCCTGAGTGTCAGTGAGCACGGTCATACCGTAGTAGAAGTATATGAGTAACGACGATGGCGGACGCACCGACAGCCTCACAATGTCAGCAGGCTCCTCGCGGGAGGCCCCATGTCCGCGGGATAGATATCATGAGAGACCCAAACCTCAACAAGGCAAGTACGGACAAAAGTTTCCTTTGCAGATAAGATAAAATAATACCGCGTTATAACGGTTACAGGTCTGTCACCTTGGGAGATTCTCGTTCGATTGCTTAGTGTGCGTCAAGTAGAATGTACAACTGGCATGTCAGTGTCAGTGTGGGAGAGAGCGGTTTAAGCGTAGTCATACAGTATGTGACATTACACAGATATTGACAAGTTCAATATGACACAGAACGTGTGCACACGTCACAGTTAAACCGACTGCTGCCGTTTCATCGAATTACAGTCTATGATATTTAATGAACGTATTGTTTATCAGTTAATACAGGGGACGAAACCTTAAAACTTAGTGCAGTGCATTACATTCTCAGTAATATTTTCATGTTAAGTTTTACGTTTTCGACGGATTGTTTATGTAAGCTTATAACGAGAATAAGTCTTTGTGGTGTGATATTCGGCTTGGGCTGGCGGCAGTATGTTACAGAATGCATAATGCAATGTGAACATAAGAATAGCAAGCTCTCATTTACTGATGGACTTTCATCTATGTGATGTATTTGTTCAAAGATAATGCTTATAAACCCACTCACTCCATCGGAGATTTACGAATTCCGGGTAAACCTATGTGATATTGCGGTTGTTCTAATTGTGTGTTCTAACGTCAATGTATGTGTGGGTATATATAGGGTAAGTTCAAGGACACACAATATCTACTATTCATCATACACCCCTACCCCTCCAGCATATATCTGTTGAAACAGCTGAGATGACACAGCGCTTTCCAACGCCGAGGATCGCATTCTCACTATGTACACTTACTCAAGGGCGTCAGGCCGTCGTGAGTCAGCAGTTTAACAGACAGCCTACACACAATGAAGCCAGGTATCATGGTTTAATATCGAACATGGCATTGAGACTCTACTGGCTTGTAAATGGGAAGCTCACTCGTATACATATTGTATGCCCGAACAACGCCCATTGTTTGTTTAAAAGAAACATACAATGGATATATACGCTTGATGCATCCACGTAAGATGCCAATGGCCACACACCTCTACCCTAAAATCATTTACAACCGGAGATTGAAATTAGCTCATATCATGGCACCTTGTCCGACGTCCGTGTCACAGTTTCTGAATCCCCAAGGTCAATGAGCATGAAGCATGGAACAAATCATTCCCCAAATTCTCACAGAATGTTGATCCGATTTCAAACATGGCGATCATGGCAGCCATATTGAATCTGTCTCTCAGACATTGCTGCATGTATCATTGACATATCATTGACATACAGTAATTGTGTGGTATGTCGAACAGGATATACCATGTTATTTATTTTTTCAGTATCCATACATTACCGATGTATGCAGGTGTTTTGGTGTGACACCATGGTTTTCAGTATCCATACATTTCCAGTATATTCAGGTGTCTTGGTATGATACCACGGTTTTCGGTATCCATACATTTCCAGTATATTCAGGTGTCTTGGTATGATACCACGGTTTTCAGTATCCGTACATTACCAGTGTATGCAGGTGTCTTGGTGTGACACCGTGGTTTTCAGTATCCATACATTACCGGTGTATGCAGGTGTCTTGGTGTGACATCACGGTTTTCAGTATCCATACATTACCAGTGTATGCAGGTGTCTTGGTGTGACACCACAGTTTTCGGTATCCATACATTACCGGTGTATAAAGATGTCTTGGTGTGACACAGCGTTTTCAGTATCCATACATTACCGGTGTATGCAGGTGTCTTGGTGTGACACAACGGTTTTCAGTATCCATACATTACCGGTGTATGCAGGTGTCCTGGTGTGACACCATGGTTTTCAGTATCCATACATTACCGTGCATGCAGGTGTCTTGGTGTGACACAATGGTTTTCAGCATCCATTCATTACCGTGCATGCAGGTGTCTTGGTGTGTTACCACGGTTTTCAGCATCCATACATTACCGATGTATGCAGGTGTCTTGGTGTGACACAACGGTTTTCAGTATCCATACATTACCGGTGTATGCAGGTGTCTTGGTGTGACACAACGGTTTTCGGTATCCATACATTACCAGTGTATGCAGGTGTCTTCGTATGACACAACGGTTTTCAGTATCCATACATTACCGATGTATGCAGGTGTCTTGGTGTGACACTACGGTTTTCAACATCCATACATTACCGATGTATGCTGTGTCCTGGTGTGACACCACGGTTTTCAGTATCCATACATTACTGTTGTATGCAGGTGTCTTGGTGTGACACTACGGTTTTCAGCATCCATACATTACTGTTGTATGCAGGTGTCTTGGTGTGACACAACGGTTTTCAGCATCCATACATTACCGGTGTATGAAGATGTCTTGGTATGACACAATGGTTTTCAGTATCCATACATTACCGATGTATGCAGGTGTCTTCGTGTGACACCACGGTTTTCAGTATCCATACATTACCGGTGTATGCAGGTGTCTTGGTGTGACACAACAGTTTTCGGTATCCATACATTACTGTTGTATGTAGGGGCCTTGGTGTGACACCACGGTTTTCAGTATCCATACATTACCTGTGTATGCAGGTGTTTTGGTGTGACACCATGGTTTTCAGTATCCATACATTACCTGTGTATGCAGGTGTTTTGGTGTGACACCATGGTTTTCAGTATCCATACATTACCTGTGTATGCAGGTGTTTTGGTGTGACACCATGGTTTTCAGTATCCATACATTACCTGTGTATGCAGGTGTTTTGGTGTGACACCATGGTTTTCAGTATCCATACATTACCAATGTATGCAGGTGTTTTGGTGTGACACCATGGTTTTCAGTATCCCTATATTACCGGTGTATGCAGGTGTCTTGGTGTGACACTACGGTTTTTAGCATCCATACATTACCGATGTATGCAGGTGTCTTGGTGTGACACTACGGTTTTCAGCATCCATACATTACCGATGTATGCAGGTGTCTTGGTGTGACACTACGGTTTTCAGCATCCATACATTACCGATGTATGCAGGTGTTTTGGTGTGACACCATGGTTTTCAGTATCCCTATATTACCGGTGTATGCAGGTGTCTTGGTGTGACACTACGGTTTTTAGCATCCATACATTACCGATGTATGCAGGTGTCTTGGTGTGACACTACGGTTTTCAGCATCCATACATTACCGATGTATGCAGGTGTCTTTGTGTGACACTACGGTTTTCAGCATCCATACATTACCGATGTATGCAGGTGTCCTGGTGTGACACAACGGTTTTCAGCATCCATACATTACCGATGTATGCAGGTGTCTTGGTGTGACACTATGGTTTTCAGCATCCATACATTACCGATGTATGCAGGTGTCTTGGTGTGACACAATGGTTTTCAGTATCCATACATTACTGTTGTATGCAGGTGTCTTGGTGTGACACCACGGTTTTCAGTATCCATAAATTACCGGTGTATGCAGGTGTCTTGGTGTGACACCATGGTTTTCAGTATCCATACATTACCGGTTTATGCAGGTGTCCTGGTGTGACACCACAGTTTTCAGTATCCATACATTACCGATGTATGCAGGTGTCTTGGTGTGACACAATGGTTTTCAGTATCCATACATTACCGGTGTATGCAGGTGTCTTGCTGTGACACAACGGTTTTCGGTATCCATACATTACTGTTGTATGCAGGTGTCTTGGTGTGACACCACAGTTTTCAGTATCCATACATTACGGGTGTATGCAGGTGTCTTGGTGTGACACCACAGTTTTCAGTATCCATACATTACTGTTGTATGCAGGTGTCTTGGTGTGACACAATGGTTTTCAGTATCCATACATTACCGGTGTATGCAGGTGTCTTGGTGTGACACAACGGTTTTCGGTATCCATACATTACCGGTGTATGAAGCTGTCTTGGTGTGACACAACGGTTTTCAGCATCCATACATTACTGGTGTATGAAGCTGTCTTGGTGTGACACAATGGTTTTCAGTATCCATACATTACTAGTGTATGCAGGTGTCTTGGTATGACACAACGGTTTTCAGCATCCATACATTACTGTTGTATGAAGGTGTCTTGGTGTGACACAACGGTTTTCAGCATCCATACATTACTGATGTATGCAGGTGTCTTGGTATGACACAACGGTTTTCAGCATCCATACATTACTGTTGTATGCAGGTGTCTTCCTGTGACACCACGGTTTTCAGTATCCATACATTACCGGTGTATGCAGGTGTCTTGGTGTGACACAACGGTTTTCGGTATCCACACATTACCTGTGTATGCAGGTGTCTTGGTGTGACACAACGGTTTTCGGTATCCATACATTACCGGTGTATGCAGGTGTCTTGGTGTGACACAACGGTTTTCAGTATCCATACATTACCGGTGTATGCAGGTGTCTTGGTGTGACACAACGGTTTTCAGTATCCATACATTACCGGTGTATGCAGGTGTCTTGGTGTGACACAACGGTTTTCGGTATCCATACATTACCGGTGTATGCAGGTGTCTTGGTGTGACACAACGGTTTTCAGTATCCATACATTACCGGTGTATGCAGGTGTCTTGGTGTGACATCATGGTTTTCAGTATCCATACATTACCGGTGTATGCAGGTGTCTTGGTGTGACACCATGGTTTTCGGTATCCATACATTACCGGTGTATGCAGGTGTCTTGGTGTGACACAACGGTTTTCGGTATCCATACATTACCGGTGTATGCAGGTGTCTTGGTGTGACACTACGGTTTTCAGCATCCATACATTACCGATGTATGCTGTGTCCTGGTGTGACACCACTGTTTTCAGTATCCATACATTACTGTTGTATGCAGGTGTCTTGGTGTGACAAAAATGGTTTTCAGCATCCATACATTACCGATGTATGCAGGTGTCTTGGTGTGACACAATGGTTTTCAGCATCCATACATTACCGATGTATGCAGGTGTCTTGGTGTGACACTACGGTTTTCAGCATCCATACATTACCGATGTATGCAGGTGTCCTGGTGTGACAC